CTGGAGGCCCCTGACAGTATGGGAAAATGATAGCACTGATTAGAGCAGGTGTGATATTTCAGCTATTTTTTTTTTTTACCTGCAATGGGTTAAATCCAAGGATATAGAACCTGACTCTACTGAGGGAAAACTGCAGTTGAAGTCTTCTAGTCGGGTTTCAAGTTATAAAATCCCTAAGATAAGACAGCCCCTTGGCCCTGAGCGGCAGCTTCTGAGCTGAGACTGGCTGTGAGGTGAAGCCCAGTGACTCACCTGGCCCAACTCCCAGTGTTAGCGGGGGACTTGCGATATCTCCATGCCCGCATCACCCTTTGCTTCCTCCCTGAACTGGGAAAACCCCACTTATTTTCAAAGAAACTCAATAAACAGAGCATAGACCGTGACTTGTAGAAAAAACACACCTCTTTACTAATTACTGTGAGAAGTACCAATGGTAATGCCATTGAGAGCTTAGAGAGAAAATATGCGCTTGAAATTTGTTTGCACAGATAATCTACATATGTTCATATGTATGTGCATGTAATGTGAGGTTTTCTTGGCCCAGTAGGTCCCTTAACTTATTTGGGGAGCCCCCAAATAAGCACACAAAGACTTACGTTAATTATAAATCTGTTGGCCATTATCTATGGTTTCCTATTGGCTAGCTCTGACTTAATTATTAACACATAATTATTAATCCGTGTATTTCCACGTGGTCTTGGCTTACTAGATCTGCAACTCCTTTGCCTGCTACATGATGACGACTGGCTCAGTGTCTCTGCAGAGAAGAGAGCGGTTTCCTGTTTGTCCCTGCTTATATGCTGATTCTGCCCAGCTACGTCCTTCCTGCCTGCCTGTACAGACCTCCAGACCTCTATGGTTAGCTAGTGGCAGTTTCTGCCCAGCTGTGTCACTTCCTGGGACCTCATGATGACTCCTCTCTGCTTACACTTCCCAGAATCCTCCTTGTCTCCTAGTCCTATCATCTTGCCTGGCCAATCAGTGTTTTATTTATCAACCAGTAAGACAAACATATACACAGAAGAACATTCCCAATCGTGTGTGTGTTGTGAGAGCGCATGTGCATGTCTAAGGACAGATGTGTTTTCCTCTATTGTCCTGTGCCTTTTGAGTCAGGGTCTCTCATTGAGCCAGAGCTTACCAGTTGGCTAGGCTGGCTAACTGGCCAGTGAGCTCTAGGGATCCACCTGTCTCTCCTCCAGAGCTGGGGCTGTGGACACATGCTACAGCTTTTATGTGGGTCCTGTGGATCCAGACTCTGGGCCTTAGACTTGTGCAGCAACCTCTCCATCCGCTGAGCCACATTCCTTGCCTCACATATATTTCTTTTTTTATCAGTTGCCCTAGAAATTTCCATCCCTTCAGGGCAATGGCACTGTGAGGGGTGGGGCAGGGTAGTGAAGGAAGGATGCTGTGGCACTGTGGGGAGTCAGGGTGGGGGGAGATGCAGCGATACAGTGGGGAGCTGGGCATGGAGGTTGAAGGAAGGATGCTGTGGCACTGTGGGGGGAGTGGCACAGGCCTGGGGAAGAAGAGGAGGCCTATGCTGAGTGGCCAAGGAAATGTGCCAGGGATTGTCACATCAAGGTGGGGACTTTAGGCTCAAAGCTGATGGGTTTTGATTTCAAAGTCAGAGCTCAGTGTGAGCAAACAGGACTCTGAGATTAGAGCATTTGACATAGGCTGGAGAGCTGCCTCTGTTCTTATTCTTTAGCTGAAGGATTTAAATGGCTACATTAACGCTCCAACTCTACACACACACACACACACACACACACACACACACACACACACACACACACATCCAAATTTGTTTGCTTCACTCAGAAAGCTGGCTGGATGGTCTCAGTTTCACCCCTTGAGATAAACTGTTAACTTACAGAGTGGCACTTTCGTTCTGATGTTATAATCCTTAATTGTAAGGATGGAGCTAGTCATTTACTGATAACCTGGGAATTTAGTCTAAGTTTCAAATCAAATTTATCTCTCTTTAAAATTGACATTCTAATCTATCATGTCCTAACCAAGCAGATTTTAGCACAACATGTGTCACTCTGTCCTTTCTAAATATTAACTTCATGATGTGTTAAGAATTAAACTAATTACTCTCAAGTCACTGCAAAATTGATCGTTGCTGCTTTAGTATGCCTACACAAAACTGCACAGGTTACTGCAGGTTTTAAGTCTTCTGTATGTATTTACTTACTGTGCCTGGAGTGCTCTGGCACAAGCATCACGGTGGGCACGTGGGGGCAGAGGAGGCCTGCCAGGGTCAGTTCACTTCTTCAATGACATGGGATCTGGAGATGAACTAGAATCAGCAGGCTTGGTGGCAAGCGCCTTTGTTGAGTCATCTTGCTGACACTGAGTTTTCAAGTGCTTCTTATGATTTAGTTATGAGATCTGCCAATGCTGGCATCTTAATTTTGTCCCTCTATGCTGCTGGTGTATTTATTTTTATGTAATTATAAGCTGTCAAGAGTCTTTTTCATAACAACAGATTTTATTCATGGCCATAACTGAACTGTTACAGACCCATTTAAATTTGATTCATGAGATTTTAGATGTAATGGTGTCTAATAATTTTAGAACAAGGACCTACAAGAAACCATGAAGTATGTGGTGGTTTGAATAGGGATGGTCCCTATAGGCTCGTATATTTGAATGGAGTGGTGCTACTTGAGAGGAATTAGGAGGTGTGGCCTTGTCGAAGTAGGTGTGGCCTTGATGGAGGAGGCCCTGCAGCACTCTCTCACTCTCTGCCTGCTCCCTGCAGATCTGGATGTAAAACTCTCACCAGTCCCCTAGTCTGCCTGAGGGCTGCCACGTTCCCCTGCTGTGATGATAATGAACTGAATCTTTGAAACTAAGTAAGCCCCAATTAAATGCTTTCTTTTGTAAGAACTCCTAATTTAAATTTAAAAAATTTTAAATAAAACAATAGGAAGATGCAGCAAGATAGTATAAAATATGGCTGTCTATGGTAATTAGAAAACAGCTTGTATTTCATAAAATAGGAACCTAAATATTTCCTCAAAGATATTATAATAGTCATCATTAAATAATAGGGTTTATTTAAAAAGAAAAAACGATTGCTGTGGTCATGTTGTCTCTTCATAGCAATAGAAAACTCTAAGACAGAGTTGTAGAAACCTGGGCTTTATAAAAGGTATACAGAAGAGAATGCAGAGTGTTAGAGAGAGAAAAAGCTGTCACACACAGCCTGATGATGGGCATCTGAACCATGGAGGGGGAGGGAGTGAGGAAGAGGGCAGAGAGCAAGATAGCCTGCCTTAAGTTAGGGACATCAGAGTGCCCAGGGGGTTAAGACTTGTTTACTCTAAGTGAAATGTATGTTGTCACTTTGAGTTTCTCAAGACCTCACAGGTTCTCATCTAGGAAAAGAGTAAGAAAAGCCAAATATGCTCAGGTCTCAAGGGTGGCTCCTTGGTATTTAACATTACTGCTTGAAATATCTCTAAATGAAAGGAGTATTGTCTCTATGTTGTAAATTTCACAGAGAACTTCCTTAACTATGATGAAAGTCTTGACTCTGAGGTGAGGAAACGTCCTCCTCCCATTCCCCATGTCTGTCCTCTCCTACCTCAGTTTCATGTAGTTTAGAATCTGCTCATCAACTTCACCAAGAAGGGGAGAGAAAGAGAAGGGAGGGAGGGAGATGCTTGGTAGGATTTTTACTGGCACTACACACAATACAATTAGATTTTTAACTTTTATACAGTAGCAACAAAAATATCAATACTTGGAATTTGAAAGATTCTACTTAGAATGGTAAAGAACCGTGGAAAAATCAAGAAAAGGGGGGGCTTGCCAACAAAATATTAAGACTTATTTAGGGATCAGGTGGTGGCTCAGTAGGTAAAATGCTTGCTGGGCACGCATGGGTGCCTGAGTTCAGATCCACGGACCCTGTGAGAGCCCCAGGTCTCAGTGCATGCTTGTAATCCCAGTGCTGGGAGGTGGAGATGGGAAGATACTGGGGGCTTAGCCAATCAGTGAGCTCCCGCTCACAGGAAACCCTGTCTCAAAACATAAGGCAGATAGTGATCAAGGAAGAACGCAACATGGACCTCTGGCCTCCACATGCTCACAAGCTGACATTCACACCCCCCCCCCACTGATGCACACATAGAAGCATATGCTTCTCTCAACACATATACAATTTATTTTAGGTCCATGGTTATTAAAACACTGCTTATAGCTAGAGAGACAGTAAGAATCCATAAATGTTTCGAAACTTCTACAAAAGGACATTACAAATCAATGGTAGACTTTGGATTCACCACCATATTGTGTTGGGACAACCAGCTCGCTGTGTAAAAACAAGCTGAAATAGTTTTTAATTATGTACTAAAATAAACACCAAATGGTTCATGATTCAAATATGCACACAAAATATAAAGCATTTTACAAAAGGACAAGTTTCTTGACTTTAAAGTAGCAAATATATCCTTCAACGAGACACAAAGTTTGTAAGAGCTATAGCCGTAATTGGGAATGAAATGTGTTATGAGGCTTAATGCTGGGAAATAACGTTTGCAGTGCATAAATTACAAAGGAGTATCATTTGGAAGATACAGTGGTATGATTTGACATAATAAGAGAAACAGTTACAATAAATTGGCCCGTGGACTGGATGGTCAGTGACAGCTGCCCCCAGTGCGTGCCCTCTGAGTCTGTGTGCCTCTCTACCCATCTCAGACTGAACTCTGTTTTCCCTCTCCTTAAACCCTGGCTTGTTTTAGAAAACGTTTTCACTAATAAGACACAACAGAAATGCTGATGAGAAAGTGATTGACAGAAAAAAGAAATCTGGAAGGACCATTGCCAATGTCCCTGTTCTGGCACCACTCTGCCAGGGCCTCTGGCAGTCAGGGCTGGTGGAAGGGCCAGTCCAGCTGGTCACATTCCGGGGCTGAGCGGGGTGAGTGGACAACCCAGAACCCCCTCCTAGTCACCAGAGAGAACCTCACTGAGTCTTGGAGACCTGTCAAAGCAGAGTCTCGCTTTATTTAACAGGCATGTGTTTAAATGGGGTTGAGAAAGAGGGTGGGGACCAAAGGATGGGGTGAGGTGTAAGGGCCAATAATATTCCACCATGTTAGCAGTAGCTGGGCAGAGGCAGTGTTGCTGAGACAGGTCGCCAAACTCAAGCCAGGCTCAGGAAATTCCGCTAAGTCTTGTGTCTGGGCCTTTTTAGGCCCAACATCTCCCCTTTTGTTTTTGTGTATGGTCCCTGACTTAGGTTGTCTCCCACCTGGAGATCTTACCCATCTTTGAGTACCATGTATCTGGCTTAGGTTGTCCCAGCCTATCTGAGATCTTACCCATCACTGGTCAGATGGAGGGTGGGGGAGGGACATTCATAGGAAGATGGCCAATCATAGGAGTTCAACTTCTGAGTAGTGAGCCTGTGATAATGTACTTTGACCTGATGATGTTTTACTGCCTCTAGCCATGGGTAGATGAATTGTATGGTCTTATTGAAAGACAGGGCCCAACAGTAAGGAGAAGGAGGAGGAGGAGAAGCAAAGGTCCAAGTAGAGGAAGAAGGTAGGGTAGAAAGCTACTTATGCCTGTCCACAAGGGTTATCCTGTAGGTCCCAACGTCTCCTTTCCAAGTCCTCCTGAGGCCTTTTGATTTTGTCACTGGGTGAGATGAGCATCACCAGTACCAGGAAAGGCAGCAGCAGCAGCCACCTCTGCAATCATTCCTGGAGGAGAAACAGAGGCACAGTTCTCAGGGGTAGAACACTCCCTGAAAAGGTAACTGCCATCATCCCCTTGTTGGGGTAAATATTTGATATCTCTCAAAGGTACTCAGATGGGTCTTTTTCTCATCTTGAAGGAAGATGCATCCAAACCCTCTTCCTGCTATGAGGAAGGGGTCTAGTCCTCTCCAGACCTCAGTCAGTGGGTCCTTCCATCTGACCCAGATGGAACTATTGGTAATGGATGAGGACCAATGTTTTTGAAAAGGATACAAGTATTTTTCTTCTTTAGAAAAATTTAAATATTTAAGGTAAATAGTGCCCTTTTCAGTTGATCATGTTTTGTTTTGGATCATCTTTTGTTTTTGTAATTGAGATTTGAGAGTCTGGTTATATTTAAAGGGGACAATAAGGAGATGAGGTTACATGCCAAATGCCCTGATGGAAGTGTCCCTGCCATTAATGATGCAATCTGCTATTTGATTGGTCATAGAGTAGGCCCTAGGGACCCCACCCACTGAAAGATGAACCTAGTGGATGGGCTCACCCTCTTGTGCTGCTAGTGCCATGCATAAAACTCTCCAGGGATGATATACAAGGAAACAGGCAGGTTAGGGTCAAATCTTCTTAGGACTGCTCTGTCTATGGCCATTGGACTTGATGTAAAATCTGTCAATGGTAAGAGGACAAAGTAATTAAGGAAGAAAGGCTGGGACCCTTTAAGAGCTTGAACAAGGGAGACAACTGTGCAATGGAAATAGGTATCTACAGTTTCATCCAGTTGATCTCCCCCAGTACCTTTTGGAGTTGAGGTAGGGTATAGGAATCCTGGACAGGTAACTGGGGCTTAACAGGAGAGACAGAATCAAGGGACAGAATGGAAAGGCTTCTGCCTCTCCAAGAATATCCTGACTTAGGAGGTTGGCCATCAGGCTGGGAACCAATGGGGGGGGGCACCTCCCCGCAGTTACCGTCGGGATAGGTCTAAGATAGCCAGCTAGCTATCTCCCATGATGTAGACTGTCCACCTACGCCAAGTAGGGGCAGTCCTGGACCTAACTGCCATGAGTGAGGAGCTTCCTCCTTCCTTATAAGTCTACGGTCGGCCCCAGTGGCCATTCCCACAGTTATTCCTAACACAGAGAGTAATGGTATCATTTGTACAGCTCTTTTGGGTCTCCCTCCAGTGTAATCAAAGAGGGTATGGGAAGGGCCTTGTCTCCTGGGATGATATCTACATCGGGGATTAAGGTGGCAGGGGCACATAGGCCCGTCCAACTGGTGGGCAGGAAGTCATAGGCCATCCCGACTCTCAGACAAAGACCATCCCTGGAGGTGGACAGTGCTGCGTATTGGGCTCAGCTGTGTTGAAATCTGCGCAGCATTTTTTTTTCAGCTCTATAAAGAAGGTCAGGTCCTCACTAGCTTTTTGAGTAATTCCTGAGACAGGGGCTTCAGTCGAACCCTACTCCAGTTTTCTCCATGCGGCTAGCCCTATCGCTTGCACCTGATCCCAACACAGATCAGGAATGGCAGCCTGTTGAAAGCCTGTAGATAATTGGTCAGTGGTACCCGAGAGCATCCCAAAGATGATAGGGACTGGAGACTGAGCATCCTTAGGAATAGGGTAAAGCAGAGGCATCTGGGACTGCTTCAAAACCATTAACCCCTTCCACCTGATGCGGTCAGAGTGGCCACACCTGTGAGCATCTCTGAGAACCTTCTGAGGAAAGGTAATGGCTGGCACCTGGCCCTCAGCCATGGGTGGAGGATTCACAACTACCCCCAGATCCGTACAACCTAATCACAGCCCAAAGGAGAAAAGGTAGGGGGTGCCTCTGAAAAGTGAGGTTGCTCCTAAGGATATGCCCCCAACAAGACCTTTTGGTGGCAAGAAACAGTCTCTTGTGCTCCTGGGCTTCCCAGGGCTTCCAGTCATTGGGACATTGGGTTAACATTTACAGGAAAGAGACTGGTCATTCCCTATCCAGTAATAGGGAGGTAGTACGGGAGAAATTTGAAAGGGATTAGTGGGGGGATCTAGGAAGGGTGACTCCCCGGAAGGCCAGGGGGCTCTCCCAAAAGAGTCTAGGGACAGAAACAAGGGTTCAGGCTGGCATAAGGGACTGGGGTTTGTTTTTTTAAAAAGCACTGCCCTATAATTTACAGGGGTATACTCACCCAAAGACCAATTGGTCCAATTTATAGGGGTACTCTCATCCAAAGACCAATTGGCCCATCAGCGTACTTCCGAAAGAGACGAATTCTTCACACGGGGCACCAATCTGTTCAGGAGCCACTCTGCCAGGGCCACTGACAGCCAGAGCTGTGGGAAAGGCCAGTCCAGAGGGTCACTTCCCAGAGCTGAGTGGGATGGTGGCCGGATGATGAGTGTCGACAACCCAGAACCCCCTCCTAGTCACCAGAGAGAACCTCACTGAGTCTTGGAGACCTGTCAAAGCAGAGTCTTGCTTTATTGTAACAGGCATGCGTTTATATAGGGTTGAGAAAGAGGGTGGGGACCAAAGGATGGGGTGAGGTGTAAGGGCCAATAATATTCCACCACGTTAGCAGTAGCTGGGCAGACGCAGTGTTGCTGAGACAGGTCGCCAAACTCAAGCCAGGCTCAGGAAATTCCACTAAGCCTTGTATCTGGGCCTTTTTAGGCCCAACAGACCATAAGGTAGAAAGGGGCTCAATCTAAAAGATAACCAAGGGAGTCAAAATAAGATACCCACTGAGGTCCAGTCACCCACATCAGACAGAGCCATAAATAAAGCCTGCTGTTATCCCAGCGATGGACAGGATGTTATCCACTGCTGGGGTCAATAAAACTTGACACAGACACATTAGAGAATAAGTTTTGAATAGCCAAACAAAATTAATATGAATGTTCTTCAAGTGAAAATTAAGTTCTAGCCTTCTGTGTCACCTGTGCCACCTATTCCAACCCACTAACTGCTCAGACTTCTCAATTCCTCCTCCAGGTTCTAACCTGGTGAGTATCCTTGGCCTTCCCAAACACACATTTTTCCTAACCTGCCAGACCTAGCCTGGGTCCTACAACTAGTTCCCCAGCAGTCTGGCCTCCCCCACCTGGGTCACAGACAAGCTCTAGGAGTCTGCCAGGACCCACACTACCTGAAATCATCCCTATGGGTCCCTTGCATGCTGCCTCCATCACCCCACTCAGCACCCAGACTCCCCATGTCCTCCTCCAGGGTCTAGCCAGGATCCCACATCCCATGCTCAAACCTATTTTGATTACCTTTGCATATTCCACAGCCAAACTCTAGCCTTCTACCAGGACCTGCCCCACCTGAAACAACTCAAAGTTCCCTTCTGTGCAGCTTCCAAACATTGCACTTGGTACCCAGACTTCCCATGTCTTCCTTCAGGGTCTAAGCAGGTGAGCTTTTTTTTTCAACCCCTCAGATCTGACCTGGGTCCTACAATCAATGCACCAACTAGTCTGGCCTCTTCCTATGCCAAAGACCCCAGGACTCTCTATGTCACATCCAATCTTTCCACCGATCCGTTATCTATCCCCACACTCCAGGCTTGGAACAGAAATATACCTTGTATACCAATTCAGTCCCCTCTGTCTACCTGACTTCATCCCACCCAAGAAGGTTCGAACTTCTAGAAACAGCCCCCCACACCTCTTTTCTTCCCCAACCTCCTCTGTCTAAAATGGACTCAGAACAAAAGAAGTCCACCTACCTAGATGTCATCATAAAAACACCAACAAGATGACAGAGCAAACCAGAGTCTCCTCTCCAAAACCTACCGTCCTGCGTGATGCTAGCAATGAGAATTACCTAGATGGCACAGGAGGTGGAAACACTGTTGGGGACTCAAGCCGAAATGAAGATGTAATTGAATAGTTCGACTAGAAAACTCAAGGGAAAGCTTTTCAAATAGAATGAAACAAGCAGAAGATAGACTATCATGACTCAAAGATAAAGTAGAGGTTCTAGACCAAATCATTGAGGAATATGAAAAAATTCAAAAAACACAGGAAAGGCATACATGGGAAATGTGAGACAGCATGAAAAAAACCCATACCTTCTGTTCATAGGCATAGATAAGGGAGAAGAATTCCAAGTCAATGGCACAGACCATTCAACAAGATCACAGAAGAAAATTTCCCCAAACTAAAGAAAGACATACCCATAGAGCTAGGACCACAGAAAATACCAAAAGTACAAGACCAAAAAAGAAAATCCATATGGCATATAATAGTTAAAACACTAAGTATGCAGAACAAAGAAAATGTTTTGAAAGCTACAAATGAAAACAAGTCACATATAAAGGAAATCCTGTGAGAATAACAGAATTAATTGACATCATCCATCAAGTGAACTTAACAGATATCTATATAATATTCCACCCAAATACCAAAGAATCCACATTCTAATCAACAGCACATGGAAGCTTTTCTAAAATATACCAAATCCTGGGACACACACACACACAAAATCCTTACAAATTAATAAAAAAGGAGATCAGCCCCTGTTGCCTCTCTAATCATGATGCAATAAAACTTAAAATTAACAGCAAAAAAAAGTCAGGTAACACAAATCCATGGGGATTAAACAACTCATTACTGAATGATGGATGGGTCAAAGAAAAAATTAAGAAAGAAATAAAAAATTCTGGAATTAAATGTTAAAAAAAAAGACACATCGAAACCTCTGGAACACATTGAAAGCAATCCTTCCAGGGAAATGGTTCTAAGTGCCTACATTAAAAAATCAGAAAGACAGCAGGAGTGGCCGCGCCACGGAGTGAGTGGCCACTGCTTTCTTGCAGCAGGGAGTGGCCAGACCTGCCCAGGGATCGCCTCTTTCTGGAAAAGAGGCTGTTCGGGAAGGCTCTCCAGCAAACTGGAAAAGAGAAATTGCCCCAGGTTACAAGGTCTTGGCACAATTACACGTGCAATAGCGTTATCCAAGACTTTCAAGCTTCAGTCCCCCGGGTGCCAGACCCATCAATGACAAACAAACAGTCACACAGACGCCAATTGTTCACTACGAATTCCCCTGTGGTCACAATAGTGATTCCAGCTAAAAGTTCCTGAAGGATTATTTGGCCCTTCCGATGTAAAGGAGCTGGGAAGACCATGCTGGGAGTCAGTCATGTCTTCACTACAAGCGTGGGAATGTGTGACATTGACATCAGGCAATGTCTCTAGGGCTGTGTGATTGTAGCAGGAGGAAGCATGCTAATACAGCTTCGCTGACAGGTTAAGCAGAGAGCGCTTTCGGGAAGCTTCCCAAGCATGTGGTCGAAACTGATTGCAAACAACAGGTGGAGGGGAGAGTCAGTTCCTGGATCAGTGGCTCCATTCTAGCGTCTTTGGGGACCTTCAACAGATGTGAGTTTCCAGACAGGAATATGAAGATGGAGGGAAGCAGTGTGTAGAAGGGGAAAAATGCTCTTTGGGGCTCTCACTCTGTCTGCTTGTCACCTCACGTCTGTAACTTTAGTACACTCAGGGAAAAGATGACAGTCTTTTGTAGAATGCTTACGCATGCTGCATGTTTCAATTTCCACTTATTTTTTTTACGGCTTTAACTGGTTCTATTAAAATGAGTTTGTTTTCCTTGAGATGCACTTGTTATTACAGGCCTTTTATGATGTCATCTGAATGTCTGTTTCCTCTGGCTCCCCTGTGGGTTGGTGGGATTACTTTTCATTGACTAGGAAAAGTTATTGCCCATACTCATTTACCTTGAGCTTGCTTCCTCAGTTAATCTATAGAACCCATCTTATGGGTTCTTGTACTTTGTAAGAGTTTTGATGTAGTCAAGTCTTAAGATTTGTTGTGCACACAGGATTGTGCTACACTAAGAAACATTTTTCCAAATTGCACTATACTTAAGTGTTTCTAAAATAAACTGCCTGGTACCATACTCTTGAGGTTTGAACCAACACCACCTACTGAGTGTATTCAACCAAACTTCCTTTTTATCTCCCTTGGATCATTACTTTTCTGGCTATGGTGATAACAGAGACCTCTTCACCAACTAACCTAGAGAAAGACAGAGAGGACCCAAATTAACAGAATCAGAAATGAACAGGGAAATACAATAGACACCAAAGAAATTCAGAATATTCTAAGGGAATAATTTAAAACCTGTACTCCATTAAGCTGGAAAACCTAAAAGAAGTAGATGAATTTCTAGATTCAGCCAAACCACCAAAATTAAACCAAGAAGTCAACAGCCTGAACATACCCATCACAAATGAGAGACTAAAATAGTAACAGAAAGTCTGTCAGCTAAAACAGAAGTCTGGATCCAGATGGATCCACAGCTGTATTCTATGAATCATTCAAAGACCTACAGCCAATCCTCTTAAAGTATTCAAAAAAACACAAAAGAAACATTCCCAAACTCCTTCTATGAAGCCAGTATCACTCCAGTACCCAAACCAAGTAAAGACACAAAGGAAGGAAGGAAGGAAGGAAGGAAGGAAGGAAGGAAGGAAGGAAGGAAGGAAGGAAGGAAAAAACTACAGGTCTACATTCCTGATGAGCATATACTTAAAATACTTTCAAACAGAATACATATATACATACATCAAAAAGAGCATACATCATAACCAAGTTGATTTAATCTCAAAAAACGCAGAAATGGTTCAGCATACTTAAGTCAATAAATGTAACAAAAAATGCATAGATGGACTTGAAAAAAATCACAGGATTACCTCAATATATGCAGAAAAAGCCTTTGACAAAATCTAACATGCCTTCATGACTTAAAAAACAAAACAAAACTCTAGAGAATGCAGGGCTGGAAGGAACATACCTCAACATAATAAAAGGTACATATGAGCAACCCATAGTCAATTGCTTGAAACAACCCTGTAGTCAGGAATAAGATAGGGATGTTCACTCTCCTTATTCCTTTTATTACTGTGCTCAAAATACTAACTGGAGCAATAAGGCAAGAGAAAGAAATTAAAGGAATACCAACAGGAAAAGAAGATATTTGCAGATAGCATGGTATTAGTCATTAGAGAGCCCAAAATTATACCAAAAAACTTCTAGAAATGAAAAATTCAGTAATGTGGCAGGATACGTAATCAACTTGCACACATTAGTAGCTTTTCTATACACCAACAAACATACAGAGAGAGAGACCATAGACACACTCCCATTCACAATAGTCTTAGAGAAAAAAATATCTAAGAATAAACCTAACCAAGGGAGTGAAGGACTACTACAATGAAAACTCTAAACTTCTGAAGAAAGAGATAAAAACACTAGAAAATGGAAAGATATTCCATGCTCATGGATTGGTAGAATTACATTGTAAAAAAAAAATGACCATTTACTAAAACTGCTTACAGATTAGATCCAACCTCAATAAAATCCACATCACATTCTTTACTGTCCTAACATGTAATGGAACAAACAACCCCGGGTAGCCAAGAGAATTCAGAAGAGAAAAGGA